TAGGTTTCAGTGACAAGGTCTTTGAAAACTTAGGAGACAGACAAATTAAAGCAGAAATGTAATTGGTAAAAACTGATTTAGAAAGAATTAGAAAATAGGATCTTTTTCAGAAATAATTAAAGGAATTGAAACAATTATTTAATACCTCTTAATTAAAAAAAAGAAATCAGAGACTCACTAGAAATTGGATAGTTGATATGCAAGTGCTACCAGTTTTAAGGAACTTCCAAAATTATATAGATGCCTCCAAAAAATGGAAAATAAGGGCATATTCTACAATTCATTTTATGAGACAGAAAAATTTTGATAAAAAGTTAGGTGGTATGAAGAAGAAAAATAGTCTGTTCATGAATGTAGATAAAAACTTCTAAACAAAATTTAGCAAAGCAAAACCAATTTTCTATAACAATATTAATAAACAGTGTCCAATTTGGGTATATGAAAGTATTATAAGAATGTTTTAATAATGCAGAAATATGTAAGTGTATATGCCCACATTACCAATGAAATGAAATCATCTCAGTATCTCAGAAGGTGCAGAGAATATTAACACTGATTCATAATAAAAATTCTATATAACAGAAATAGAAGAAAACTTTATTAAATGTATGAAAGGTGTTGCTCAAAAAAGAAAAAGAAAAGAAAATCCGTACAACAAACATCATCCTAAGTTGGGAAATTCTGAAAGTATTCCATTTAAATTCTGGGACAAGATATGGATATTCTGTATAAATACTCTAATTCAATCAAGTATTGAAGCTCTGGCCAGCACAGTAAGACAGGGAGAGAAATAACAATTATAAGGATTGAAGATCACTAATAATACCATTGTTATTAGCATATGATACAGTTGTTTACATAGAAATCCAAATGAATCTACAAACATAATGTAGGCAATAGAAAAGAGGAGTAATGTGCCTGTTTGTAAGATCAATATATAAAAGTCAAATATATTTATATATACCAGCAACAAAAACATTAATTTTAATAAACAATTTAAAAATTTAAGATACTAACATAAACTTTAAAACAACCAAGAATAAATCTAACAATGACCTGCAAGCAAAAAAATGTTGTAACTTATTTAAGGATATTAAAGAATAAGTTGATTGAAAAAGCCTATATTCATGGATGAGGAATTAACACCATATAGATGTTAATTCTCCTAAAACTGATCAATAGACTTCATGTAATGCAATTTTTTTCAACATTTATGATTTTTTTGTGTGTTTATTTTCACCCTTACGGGATATGACAAGTTAAATTTAATATGTGTACAGTAAAGCAACGAAAAAAATAATAGCTAAGATTTCATGTTCAATGAGACATAGATTAACTATAAAGCTATAATGTTGTAAGAGTGTGGTACTGGTTCAGAGATGGACAAATTCATGAATAAAATAGAACAGATTCTAAAAAGAAAAATACCCACCTATGGAAATTTGATTTATGATGGATTTGCATGATAGAAAACTGAATTATCCAAAACATGAAAAGATGGATTTAAAAATGAAAAGAAAAATAGTTGCACAACACCCAAAAGGACAGAAGAAAGGAGGCAAGAACGGGAGGAATGGAGAAAGAGAAAGGGAGGGCAGAGGGATGAAAGGAGGCAGTGAAGAAGGGAAAAGAAAAAAGGGGTCACTACTAGACAGCACCACTCTGGAATATTGTGTATATTTTATATATATTATTTATTCTATTCCAATAACTCACACCACCCTATCTTACATCACCACATAAAATTTCTATGCCAAAATTAAAACTAAGGGGCTTCCCTGGTGACTCAGTGGTTAAGAATCCGCCTGCCAACGCAGGGGACACCAGTTCGAGCCCTGGTCCGGGAAAATCTCACATGCCGCGGAGCAACTAAGCCCGTACGCCACAACTACTGAGCCTGTGCTCTAGAACCCGCGAGCCACAACTATTCAGCCCACGTGCCACAGCTACTGAAGACTGCATGTCTAGGGCCCGTGCTCCACCACAAGAGAAGCCACCGCAATGAGAAGCCCACGCACCGCAATGAAGAGTAGCCCCTGCTCGCCACAACTAGAGAAGCCCACGTGCAACAACGAAGACCCAACGCAACCAAAAATAAAATAAATAAATTTTTAAAAAAATTAAAACTGAAAAAAAAAATTAAAACTGAAATTTTAGGAGAGTAAATGTGAACTCTCTTCTGTCCACTGAGGAAACATTGTTTGTTACACAAAGCAGGCCAAAGTGCTAGCCATTTATTAAAAGATTGATAAACTTGAATACATTAAAACTAAAATGATACTTGTTAAAATATACATTAAGGAAAGTAAAAAAACTTTAAACCTATAGGAAATATTTGCCAAAAAAAGAGAAAAAAACCCAATAGGATTAAAATCAAGAAGTAAAGAATTTTTACAAATCAACAAGTAAAACAGGAGTAGAGAAAAGATATGAAAAGGCATTTCACAAACGAGGAAACACATAAAATTAACAAGTATGACATTACAAGTGTTAGGATGGGCTCGGCACAGTTTTTTTCCACCTTCTTTCACGTACCTACATTGGTACAACTTCTATAGGAAACAGTTTGGCATGATATTGTAAAGTTGCAAAAGTGGTCACTGTCCATGAGCACCAGAAAATATGTCCAAAATGCATTTTTTATGAGAACATAATCCAAATATCCATTGTATGGATTTTAAAAAGCATACCCACATAAATGGTATTAAACACAGCAGTAGAAATAAAATAACTCTTCAAATACACGTGGATGGAAATTCAGCTACTACATGGAGGAATGTTAGTAACAATGCTGAGATGAAAAAGCAACATACAAACAATGTGTTGTTTATGGCATACACATGCTAACCTGAAATTCAGAATAGTGGTCCCCTTTGTTAACGAGGAAGGGGGTGCTATAGGGAAAG